ACTCCTACACCGAAAGAGCTATGACGTTCAAATTTTCTGACTTTTCCTAAAATTTATCTAGGAACATTTTGGTATAATTACCATGTCCATGTGATTAATCATGTTGCCATGGCAACCAGTTTCTGACACATAGGTTTTGGAAAATTTGAAAAATGGTGATTTTTTTGTTTTAAGATCGCGTTTTTACACTTATAGTGCTTTTTGTTGTTAAAATGGTCTTTGCTTGGGACTAGTTTTTGAATTACATCAAAATGTTTCAACATCGAATATTTGGGGGGGAGGGGTGGGGTAAAATTTGTCACTTTTTTGCTTTGACAAATATGCTGCTCTATTTTCCAAATAACACTTCCAAAGTCATTTGTTTGGGTAATAAACATTAGTTTGATACTTCTTTTATACATTCTGAGCTTTTTCCCCTTTGAAAGTTGCTTTAAATTATATTTTTAACAAAAAAACGGAAATCCAAGATGGCGGACAGCCATTTCAAATTTTAAATTTTATTGCTTTTTCTCGCTGTACAAGTGTTTCCTTGTTACTAGTTCATAAGAAAGGATAACAAAGAGATGACTTTACCAATATTATTGATATTTTACGTATCTAAGTGGAAAAATAATAAGAAACATTGAAAAATCGGAATATGACGTCACTGTGACGTCATCATTGGGCGAGGCAAGTCAAAACTGGGTGTGGGGCTTCTTTGTACGGAGATGATCATTGTGTGTAAATTTCATGACCCTAGCATTATTGGTTCCAGAGATACAGAGGGGGGGTCCGAGGAGCCCTTCCCCCCCAGTCACAGATTGACCAAAAAAGCCCAGTCTGAATAGGGTTAATATAGACTGTTTTGTGTGCAAAATTGGGTATTGCTGTACATGAATAAAAACGCGAAACGTAGGACACTGCTGAGTCGATCCTCATGCTATAGACTCACTTGTCTTCCTTTAGACATCTGATGCAAATTAATTAAATAAATTTTTAAAGTACAATCAATGTCAACTTACCAAACGTTGCTTCGAACCAAGGCTCGAAGGTTTCTTTGGAGTTTCCTAAGAAACTGTGACTCATCGAATACCGAATAGTGAAGGATTATCACGATTTTTATCATTGTACCGTGGTAATGAATATCAACTCAATAAACATTGCTTCGAACAAAGACTCGAAGGTAGCAACTGTGGCTCATGGAATACCGAATATTTGCAAAGTAATGAAATAAATTGTTAATGTACAATCAATGTCAACTCACCAAACGTTGCTTCGAACAAAGACTCGAAGGTTTCTTCGGACTTTTCCAAGCAACTGTGGCTCATCGAATACCGAATAGTTAAGAATATCACACTTCTTGAGCTATTTTAAAAAAATGCTCATACGTCAGTGGTCTAACCGTATGTATCTTTGTGGCCTTGTGTGTGCGGATATGTGTTGCGGGGACGGATAACGTTGGTACTATAAGTTGATGCTAGGAACCAATGAGATTTTGGCATCTAAACATGACATTGCTAAAGGTCAAATAAAGGCACGTTGAGGCCGCCATCTTGATTCTTCACGACTTTTTCTTCTTTAATTACGGCTAAAGGTGTTTAGAAGCATAACATTTAAATATCAGTGATGCAGCTGTTTAAGGGTTCATATTTTAGCGTGGGTGCTGCTTCAAGATATTTCTGACGTAATTCCGCTGATCAGTACAACGTACGTATTTCATAATTTATGAGTTCTGTTTCACCTGCTTCAAGGCAGAGTATAAAAGATCATATATATTTTTCAAAGTTCTTCTAATGAATCTATAATTGATATTATTATTCATTCAAAATTTTCCCCCGATTCTGATTGGCTAAAAGCACACGCATAATTCATTGTAATCGGCTACTGATGACCAAGTTTGGAAGAATTTTTGCGATTTTCTTAGCAGTTCTAAGTCGCCCCCGCGTAGCACCCTATGCAGCGAAGGAAAAAAGGCGGCCAACATTTTATCCAAGAATATTACGATCTTGAAAACCATGTGTTATCCACAACTAAGTTACAAGAGATTATCTATTACCGGTCCAACCCCTTGATCTTTATACATGGTTCAGCACAACAAAGGAGACTTTTGTCTGATTGGTTAATCTCATCTGTGATTTCATTGGTCAATCTGTAAAAAGTGATTCTAAGAGCGGGAAAGAACGGGAAGGCGAGAGGCAGCTTTGGAGGCGTCGGTTAACATATTCTCTCATCCAGATTGATAGTGTGTTTGTGCAAGAAGGACGCGGTTTAAGTGGAAACTTTTTTGTTTCCCGAAAACATAGATTGGTACTTACTGTTTTTGGCAGAGGCTTCGTAGTATAAAGGGAAATCGTGACGAGTGATCGACGGATCAATCCAACCCGGTGAGTCAAAACTTACCGTGTTCGGCGCAGCGAAACCCGCGAGACGTGGAGGAAAATTTCGCCTTTCCAGAACTGTTGGTCATTATTACCGGAGTTTTCAGCACAGGAATGAATAACCGTTAACTAAAGTAAGTTGTTATACAATGAAAACGTGTGACTTTTATCGTAGTGATGATATCTTAACTAAACCAGCGATAAGAGCCTATTCACTGACGCTGTGGAAAATTTGAAAGTACATGATAATTAGCACGCAACTCACTAATAACAGCTTAATTTCGCTAAACGATGTTTGATGGGCCCCTAAACCAAGACAAAAATGTAAGAATAAAATGAGGAAGTCGTTGTAAAAAGAAAACAAGACGCTACGGAGCGTACACTTCGGCGTCATGGTTGTGGAACTGATTAATTGTAAATGCGGAGGAATAGTAAGAAATGAAATATGGTAAGAGTAAGGTGTAAATTTGTGAAATTATTGGATTTGTCACGATATTCTAAAGAGCAACATCCAAGTGGCCTATTTGCCAAAAACTAGCATTTCGGGACAAATTGTCTCTGAGATATTAGCCCAGTTATGCTCTGATGACTCCTTACAAATCCTTCTAAATTTGACTTGGGTCTAAACATTTAGACCTAAGTCAAATATGAGGTTACTGGCGGTGAATAACAAGTCTAACAAAACAAACAGTGAAAAAAGAATTCTCTATTTTTCTTAGTCACATCAGGCTTCAAAAACAGCATTATAGTAGTCTCATGTACTGATTAAAGATATGTAAGGCATGGGTAAGGAGTCAACTGCGTTGAGCATGGAATTGGCTAAAACTCAATGTTACGAGTTCGTATGTTTTGAGGATAATTATTAACTGACTATCAGCACGTAGGGATGTCGGATTATCACAAGGTTTAATACCAAACGAACATAGCCTTTACAGAGCTTTAAAATACAGCATCCGCCAACACAAAA